TACGATATTCCTGGGCGACCAGTTGGTCTTGAACGGCATGTAATTGCCGCGCGTAACTGGGAGATGGTTTTCCTGCAGGAAAACCCCTGACTGGCGGTGCCGCGAAGAACTCAATATGATTAACATGTTTTTGTATGGTTTTGTCGTTTTCGACTGTTTTTGGCTGTAGAATTTTTGTTTTCTGAGAACGCAGCTGACAGCAAGAGGAAGAAGAAAGAGATATAATCGATTCGGAAGGCGGTGATTCAGGGCAGAGGATTGAGACCTCAGTAAACAACACCGGAACAGGGGATGACAACACGCCTACATACCCTGCTCGTCGTTTAAAGAAGCGGAGTCCTGGGGCCACAGTTGATTCTCGAAGATAGATCCGCCATCACTGGGACGATAAGCAATGAATGAAGTGTATCGCTTACGGCCTTCATTAAAAATGGTGCACATGACTCGGCCATCTGTCATTTCCTCAGTCCGCAACCCTGCGTTGCTTGCCCACAATCTGCCAAGAAGCAACTCATTCGTGGTATTATCCGTCACCATAGTATGGGAATTGACCGTAACGCCGCTAATGGTGATAGGCAAGTGTTCAAGACATGCTGCAACACTGATTCCACGACCTCCGTCCACTGGGGTGAGCTGAAGATGAGGCTTGAGTCTCATCTCGGGCAACGCGCTCATACGCTTAACCACCTTTCGATGGATAATGTTGACCGCACTTCCTGTATCGATCAATGCCTTGATAATCTGGTCGCCGACAACCGCCGTTGCATACATAAACCCTCGCGTATATTCCTGGTGTGACTTTATAGGGGCCTCGATAACCTGCGCAGTTTGGAAATTGACTGAAGAACTAACAACCGGAGGAACTGAAGCATCATAATTAGGACCTGACGACATAAAATGGGAACGAGCTCTCTTCTGCAATTCCTGAACCTGGGCATCGACGCATTGAGATAGATCTGCAGCAGTAGCATTAATGGGCACTTGGTTGATGACCTCGGTAAGCTTCTGACTTATAGCATCTGTGCTGATATCTTTTCCGACACCAGCTCGAATACGAGGAGCAGCGCCAAGGAGTTCACCAATAGAGATCGTAACGCTAGTTTCCCAAACCTTCCGCAGTATCAGGTCGGTAATCATGGACCTTTTCTCAGCCACAGCAGGATCCTGCGGTCCTCTGACCCGACGCGGAATGTCATTCGGAGATGGGTTTCCTGCCGGAAAACCTTGCAGCGTTTGTTCCTGAGAAGTTCCCTGGGTGTCATCTGGTACAAGCATTGGTTCATCCTCATTAGCCTCCTCAATACGCGGTTGAAAACGGCCTTGCTGAGCATTCCTGGTACGCGCGTATTCAGACGCGCGCTGTTTTCCCTTTCTCACACGACCATCCTGGACCTGTCCTCCGATAGCATTAACTGGACCTGTCCAATATTCCTCTCCATATTCTTCCTCATCCTCTGACAGTTTTTCCCATGCAGGCTCAGATCCAAGAAGGGACGCAGCAACATATCGAACCGGAGCAGAATAATAGTCATGACCAGAGATACCATTGAGAGACGCGCCTAGGAACTGTACTGGAGCAGAGGGTATCGATTGGACATGATTGCTTGCAGATTGCTGTAGGTTTTGGTTTGCCCATGCAGCATATTGTTCAGGAATCAAGTCTTTCCTCAGAACCCCTATTCGCAGTCTCAGTTCCGGGCCCGGATTTACCTTGGTTCCTAGAGTCGTTCGACCAGTTATCTCATTCCGGTGGATCATTCCCTTTGCCTCGAAGTCCCGGATAGAATCACATTGATCGGGGGTGCTGTTGTGTGGACCTCCACATGTCCAGCATTCCCTAGGAGGACCGACCCCCATGCCATTCGACGGTATACCTCGGTTTTGTTCATAAAAAGGGTTATTCCGGCGATCAGACCTGGCATCCAGTTTCAGCGCAAGAGCTTCCAGTTTCCGGGCTACATCGTCAATTGCTCGCGAGGTAGAGTCATCAGCTTGTCGATCCTTGGGTAGAACAACCGGGATAGCAGGTACGAGAGGAACAGAAGAAACAGACTGCTGCTGCAGTGACGAAGATACATGGGGAGAAGGAGACGATTTCCTTGCAGGTTCTTTTATCTCGGTCTTTCGCTGAACTTCAGCCTCAACGCGCAGGGTTGCTTGCACCTGTTCATAGGCCGTCTGGTAGGAGATCTGATCACGGCGAGAACGAGACCTCTCTGCATGTCGCTTATGAATCCTTTTCTGCCATTTTATTGGAAGACCCTTGATAAGCGTGCTTGCTCGGTCAATATCACTCAGAAGACCCAGCAACGATATTTCCGTGGATACTTCATGAAACTCGCTCAGATAATGACGAATCTCATCATTTGTCGAACGTTCAATGGCAACAAGCTGGTCGAGATATTCCTTGGTATACCTCAACTGCTCATCATCCCAGTCATGGTAATTGTCCAAGAAGGCCTCACGAAACATGCGCCAATTCCTCGTTTTCCAGGCATAATGACCTTCAACCCAGACACGCGGCGGTCTTTCGCAGTATTGGGGAGGAGATCCATAATTTCCTTATGACGGACAATACCACTGCGACGACAGGTATCCTCTAGCTTTCTCAGGAAATCAGATGCATTGGTTTCATTGAAAGCAGGGGCCCCCTGGGATCCTGGGGCTGGCATCGCGCTGTATATCATTTGATATATTGGTCGAGGCGGCGGAACAGCATAGTAATGAGTTGGTGGTACAGGATCCCGCGAAGGTATTGTCGGCGGAGGGGGCGGAGGTGGTCTTGCAGTAGCTTCCTGAATTACAGGACTAGCAGGACGAGAGGGTTCACCAATAGTCGATCCAGAAGCTTCAGGAAGCGGTTCGCGAAACTGAGTGAATTGTTCCGCGGCGGTAATGGGTGCAGCCATATCGCCAGGAAGTTCACTGTCATTTCCACCGTCATTGATAGCCATGGTTTCGAGAGATCGTTTTCCTGCAGGAAAACGAGGTGCCGAGGAACAAGAAGAACAAACAGATGTAGTATCAGAGAATGAATCAGCCTGACAAAACGATTCCGAAGTAGAAACAGAAGTAGATGAAGATGTAGACAAAGAAGGGGATACAGAACGGGGAACAGGGGACTCTGTACTCAATGGTAATAATAATAACGACGCAGCCGTTGGCGATTGATTCCGTTCCGACAGTGATCCTTTTTCCAATAAATAACGTAGCGCAAATGACAACAGAATATTAGACAGCGCTGAATGCCAGACATAGCCAATGCCAGGACATCTCTGAATCGCTATCTTATGCAATTGACCCGGTGTCATTCGTAAAATGCCTTCCAGTGTTATGGCATCTCCCGTGTGCCAATCAGCGAGCGTTGATCGTAAAAACTGCACATATTCCGCAGATAGCGGCATTTCGATAGGCCTTTCGGCTGACATTTCGAACATTTGATAGGCTGATCCTACCTAGGATCAAGCCGCTCTTCACCCTTTGTGATATGTTCGAATACCGTCGTATTCTCTCAGGGTCAAACGCAGTACCCACTTCTCACAATGATATTGCTCTTGCTTTCAGCCACCCTTTTGTTAATCGAGCCTTCCCGGGGACGCCATATGTAAGATGGGAATGCTCGCTGGCAGTCTGTCAAGCAGACGGGTCGATCGCGAAGAGACAAAACCACCACACTCGCAGAGTGCAGGAACGAGATGAGCAAAGCGTGACGCTATAGAGAGATGATTGAACGAGCAATAACAGAACCTTTCATACGCAGTATATCGATACCGCAACCTCAGCAGCCTCAGTAGAACATTTTCATAAAGGGGAACATGCATGTTGTTTTTGATAGTATCGAACGAACGCTACTTAATCTCACGAAACAAAACGGTGGCCTTGTTGCTAAGGCCTCCAGCACATGACTACAGGATACCGATGTTGAGAGCGGGAATCCCCATTACATTAACTAGTTAGTTAGTTACTTACTGGACTGACTAAGTATCTGCACTTGATTTAGCCAGCTAGGTCCATTCCTATCTTCTCTGCACAAAAAGCTCATAAAGCTATGAAACACACAATACTGGCTTCGACCTCAATTAAGACGATATCTTTCTGTAAGCCATAGCAACTGCTTAATAAACATATCAGACATCCTAATATTACAAAAACAGAGCATCCACGGGAATCTCGGCTCCACACTAGCTCGCATTTTGTTAAACGCAAGAACAGACTAGTACTAGTGTTATGGAGTTTCCTGTTATAAGCGGGTCTCGATCTAATTGGTTCCTACGCGAGGGGTTTCCGCATGCGGCTGCCACTGAAAATTTGACTCTAGATCCCGCCAGACTTATCTGTGCTGCACTGTGAGAACTTTGTACATATGCCAAGGGTTGGAATGCATAGTCCCAGAATTCAGTAATTTCCGAAACCCCCAAGACTTTTCTAGTTCATACATCGATACGATAGCGCAAACGCTAGCATTTAAGCGAGGAATTTTGCATGTCTGAAACTACAACGGGGAAATGAGCTTGCTCTGGTAAGTAGTTATTCTGCTGGCGAACTTTCGGTGCTCTTTCCTTTGCAGATTTTGCATCGAACATCACGACAGGTCGAGCTCTCGTGGCCAGGTATGCATTGGTATCCGTTAATTCTCACTGTTGCGACGTGGCTCGGAACTGTGCCGTTAGTTGTGGCCGATTTTGAACTATATGCCTTCTACGATAGAGAAATACTGCAGGCGGGATGGGGCTTGACGAGTAGCTGTATTGATGCATTGTAAGTATCAAATGGATTTTTCGTCTACGTGGCTCCAAAGAGGCCTCCTATGGATGGCCACTGAGAAAAGAAACTAGGAATTCAACGATCTCTTGCAATGAAAAGGTGTCTGAATTACTGGGTGGTGGGGTGGATTCTAATTGTGAGTAACCATGAGAAATTTTGCAATGAGCACAGTTTCAAGCAAAAATCGTACCATTTCATCTGCGGAATTGAGCCATTGATGTTATACAGACTGGTATATGGATAATATCACCGCCCTCTGCACAACAACGTGTCAAGACTCGTTCAAGACATGGCAGTCTGATGTGGAAACGGCTTGTGCAAGTCAAACAGTTTTTCAGGGCGGCGTTATCGTCGAGGCCAAAGCCTTAGCACTTTCTCTGACATATAATGCCAAAATCGCATGCTTGCAAGACTCGTAAGTATCCTCGACGGCAAAAAATATAAATATTTTGGCCTGGGGTGTCCGTGAAGTATCAGTTAACTCAGTAATAGTGAATCCAATTGGTGCTTTTTCGATTCGCAGTCGTGGCAGGGCAGTGACTTCATGCGATATGACACGCTTATGTGCGCCGATGAGGCCAACATGCCTGATATTTGCAAAGAAGAAGACTTCGATATCCAATCAATCAGTACTGACATGCAGGCAATGACCAATCTCTATAATTCTTCGATGGTATGGGCTAACACATCGTGAGAAAAATGCTTTTGGAAGCGTGCTAAACCCCTAAAAGTTCTGTAGTGAATGCTTCCTAGAGCTATATCGGCTTCGGCTCCTGGATCCCTGGCTGGCATCGACCAACTTTACAGATTATCTTATTGGACAATTTGCTTCCATCCAAAAGAACTGTTCCACAAGTTTGCCATATACGACATCTTCTTCAACACTGTATATTGGCACACAGATGACGGCAACAGCAACGACTACGGACTCTACCACAACCACCACCAGTACTGCCAAATCTACAGCGGATTGTCTAGGACAAATAGTGCAGCCAATAAAAAATTGGCTTACATGCGACGATCTTTCTGACAGGTAAATAGTCCGTGATAAATTCATAGACTTGGATCGCTCGAAGATAGAGGGAATGCAAGTAAATAGCGACTGACAGTGACAGGTATAACGTCTCTACAGGAGATGCGCGCATGGCGACAGGAGACTACAATTGCTTTTTCGATACTCCTGTCTGCTTGCCCTTGCCATGTCCGTTATTCACAATCTGGGGATCTCCGAGCTGGTAAGAACACCCAAAATTCCTTTAAACATTTAAGATTGTAAGGTCAATCAACAACCATCCTATTATATGCTAAATTTGGATAATAAAATTAGTGCATCTCTCTCTGAGCTTGCCTCTAACACCACCAACAATGTTTCTGAATCCCAATTTTTGGCATGGAACTCGAACATCCAAGGTAGTTGCGACGGAGTTTCCAATGGTCAGCGCGTTTGTATGCAAGCTCCTGGGGGTACATGGAAAGCACCATCAGTCACAATTACAGCACCCACTGGTTCTGGCGTCTATTATACTACAGCAACACCAGCCTATCCAACACAAAGCGGCACTACCGGAAGCTGCGGCAAGTTTTACCAGGTAATTTCGGGTGACGACTGCGCTACACTGAATCTCAAGTTCGGACTTAATCTCACACAGCTGCAAATCATGAACACTTTCATTGATTCAAACTGTTCCAATCTCTGGCTCAACTATGATATATGTGTAGCACCAGTCTCTGAGCCGAGTATCTCGACTGATGGGGCTTGTGGAGTGGGTGTGACTTGCATTGATAGTGCATTTGGGAAGTAAGTATCAACATATCTTCCTTCAGCGACAGTAAATGGCGAAGTTTAGGGATTTCAAAAAGGAGAATATCAACTAATGCACGTTTTTTGCGTTAGCTGTTGCTCGTCTACAGGAAAATGCACAAATGACTGTAGCTCTGCTGGAAATAGCACTGTGAGCACCAACGGCCTTTGTGGGCCCGATAATAGCTATATGACTTGCCCGGGCTCTGAATTTGGCGACTGCTGCAGTAGTAAGTGTACCCTCCTTTATGTTCATCCTTTTCACTTGCTGGGTTCTACGCGCAAGTGCTTTCAGAGTGATCATAATGACTGACCGAGGAATCTGTTTACTCGAATAGTTTACGGATACTGTGGCAATGGAACTCAATTCTGCGGCGCAGGAAACTGCTACGCCGGAGGTTGTGACACTGACAATGGAGGTCCATCAACAAGCGGCGAATGTGGACCCCTATTTGCTGGCAACAAAACCTGTACTGGAACGCAGTTTGGTAAATGTTGTTCAGTCAACGGATATTGCGGTAGCAGTAATGATTACTGCAGCCCCCCTAATTGTTACTCAGGGGCTTGTCTGACGACGGGATATCCTTCTACGAATGGGGAGTGTGGCCCTAACTTTGCGAACAACATGACATGTGTTGGATCACAGTTTGGTGATTGTTGCTCTGCGGCTGGATATTGTGGCAGTACAAGTGAATATTGCTCTGTATCAAATTGTTATAGTGGCTCTTGTGTTTTTTAGATATAGCATGGGACGTTGATTGACCACTCAAGTGGAAATGAACATTAGCCGAGCGGGCATTTATCCCCTATTTGTACCATATTTTCAGTCTAAACATTACTGCTTTCTTCTTACTGGATAGGCAATGGTATACTTTCCGTGACTACTCAGGCACTGCAAAAGCAATAACTAGTTGGAGATGAATGTTGTATACAGGCGTCTTTTTGGTTTAGCGTTATAAGGGTAGTAACCTGACTTTTTGTCTTCGAGGTTCACACAAAAAACTAAGAATTAAGTCACCAGCTTGATGCAATCGAATATTCGGTCCCGTCACCTCTATCTGCTTCTCTGAATTTATCGATTCCTCCCTCCACACCATCTTCACCCACTGTCCATATACCACTTTCAAGCATCACCGTCCACCGGTCAAATAAATTATCCAATCTCTGTGCTCGCCGTTCACCCCCAAAGGGATGGAAGTAACCATGCTGAAAAAGCTTTGTGAATGAGCCCTCGCTATCTGTGAATAATCCGTCGGTGACTGATCTCCCATCACTCATTTTAGCCCGTCGTAAGTCGAACGGAAGCACAATATGAAAGCCTGCCTCCTCCATATCAAAATTGCTCCGACGCACAGGCTCACTGTAAAGTCCAGTTGGAATAGAGTTGCCTTCTATACCCAAGTCTTCATGCGCGACAGAGAATAAGGAGTGGATTTCGTCGTTGACATCCACCAGCTTGTCCGGGGCTGCAAATATTAAGACCCCCGGAACACAACCTTCTTCAAGGGATATACCCATACTGGTAAACGTCTGGCGCCTTATAAATGCCTCCTTATCGTGCGGAACTTCTAGCCCAGGAGCGATAAACCTGAAACGTGGAGTCTTGACCCGGGTCAAGAGCGAGCGAATAAAACAATCCTGCGGTACGCCCGCCGCATCCAGATCTGCATCAGTAAAGAGTGGCGCAGAAGAAATCGGCAGAAGTGAATCAGGAGGCATTCGAGATTCGACTATCGCTGAGTAGCGCTCGATCGCAGCTATTGTGCTATCAAGCTGGAAATCACAATAAGGGAGCCATGACCACAGACCAAATTGTGATCTGTTTGCCGCGAGACTCGGATCACCAGACAAATCCCCTTCAGAAAGTCCAGGGACAATTTTACCAATTCGAATCATATATATCCAATGAGTCAGAATAGTCTCCAGCGGGAGCCACATCTCTTCGTGCTCATGTACAGGCTCCACACTTTCAGTATTCTCTATAGTCATAGGGAATGAGGCCTTATTACGCTGCTGGTCGTAAATAACGCCCAGATTGTGCGAGCCCAGATCCATTTCAGTCTGATAAATCAAAACAAATCGCTCTTTGCCTTCCTCCATCTCGTTGTTGTCTTCATCGTTGATATACTCGTCACAAGGCATCATCACAAGACGGTTAACCCAGTAGAAGAAATCTGGGTTGGGATCATAGATTGAATCCAGGAACGATTTAAGCGGAGTAATGAGGCGGCTCCGAATAGCTGCTATATCCTCTTCTGCCTCCTGAAAGAACCACTTTTCGCTGGCTAGTGCATCAAGGTCGGGAGTGTCTCGTTCGTGACGAGCCATCCAACCATACGCGACTAAGTAGTTGTGTAGTCTGGCGCAACGCTCATAGTCGAGACTACCATCATGGGCTGGGTTCTCTTCGGATACCAGAGCGTCTTCAATATCAAGAATTTGTTGTGAAGTGGTGTTCACCTGGGGCATGGTTGCGATGATGTCGAAGGATGGATAGGGTTACATGTAGGAAAAAGCATAAGAGTTGGCACTCGCTTAGGCGACAGCGGTAGCGCTTGACACAAGTCACGTGGACTCCCGGCTAAACCTGCCTTGTCCTTTTTTGGAAGTTTCTTCCTGACGTAGCTAAAACAAAGGTAATTTTCTCAGGATGAGCCACGGTTCTCGCACCAGCGAAACTACCCACTAATCAGACTATCCCCCGAAATCATGTTTCCTGAGATACACAACGTTTCTCGTAACCAGCGAAAGCTCCCTGGATGTTGTCGGAAGGTGGATTGGATTTAGTTATTATTACCCCTTAGGGACATGATTGGAGGAGAGCAGTAACGTGACCTCCTTATCGCCTTGCGATAATTGTCACCTTTTAGCGGCAGACCTTCGGTGCCTGAAACCTAAGGTTGACCCACACCCTCCGGGTGTGGGTCAACCGGCGGTCAACGGAGTTTGCTCGTCAACGAAGCTTTTTTTTATTTTCTAGGTATTTTAACCCACAACGCCTGATATATAGACAATCAACTATAATCCTCTTCTAGGTTAGGCAATAACGGAGGGTATTCGACCTCGAAATTGTCTAATCTTGCGCGTGAAGCATCGCTCATGGCCGGATACGGTAGTGGATTGCGTAACTCCGTAAGCGCTTCCTTGATCTCTTCTGCCTTTTTTCGGTCACGAATGTGGCGATTAGCATCTTTAGTGGATAGGGCACCAAATTTGCCTATTTGCTTTTGCGACTTGCGTGCAATTTTGCGTTGTTTAGGCAATCTATTCTCTAGGGTATCCTGTAGTAGGTCTTTATCCTCTGCAAGCTGAATCTGGGATTGGGCAACACGAAGCAATTGGTCACGTATATCAGCCGCAAGAGGTGATTTATCAAGTATATTGACCATTTTATTGCGTGTTCGACGTGCATCCCATGCAGATTTAGGTGGTGTATTGGGGATACTAGATATTTGCTCTGGTGGTGGTGTACCATCAAATATCTTGAGATCCGGCTCAGGGGTTTGTGCAGCCACCAAAGGCTCAATAACTAGTTTAGGATTGTAAGGATAGATACCACGTGTAGCAAATGCCTTCCGAATAGTACGTGGTGTCATTGCTTTTGCACGAATTGCGGTTATTTCAGTAAAAAAGACCGATATATCGCGGGCATCACCACCCCATTGAGCAATCTCGTTATTTTTAGTTCGATACGCTTGTTTCAGCGCTCGAAAAGGAGACCCATCAAGTGGTTGAATAAGGTGGGTTGTATGAGGCGGGCAGACATATGGAATAATATTGTAGAAGTCACAAATATCCAAAAATTCGTAGGTGAGATGACTGCCATGTCCATCCATGATCAAAAGGCGGGGCTCTTTTGTACTTTTTCCTAGGCGATGGCTCGTATTTTCGGCAAAAAAGTGCAGCCAATCGATTGCCAGTAGATCATTCGAATATCCAGAATCCGAAACAGCGATTCGTGTCTCCTCAGGGAGCTTTCCACCATCATACCATCTGACTAGATGGGCCTTCCCCGGAGCAACAAAATATGGCTCCATAACCCAACCATCGGCTGCAACGCATTCAATTCCGGTAACCAATTGGCCTCTTTCAAATGAATGGGTTCTGGTACGGTGCTTATTGGCCGAAATAACGTTTTGAGGTCTGCCCTGGCCAAGCAGAAAGCCAGTTTCGTCAAAATTGTATATATTTTTGGTCGGAATATGCTTGATAAATGGCTCTAAACGGTCATACCATGCCGTCAAACACCAATATCCTCAGCAAGGATACGCTTTTGATCCGCAGGCTTCTGTTGCACCCAAAAAAGGTCTTCCGGTAGGTGTTGAGCCACAAAATCGTACACCCAATCTTTTGCAAGTGGACGTGCGTCTGAATTGGCCCTGCGTAGTAATGCATTTGCCGATATAGCCACCATTTTAGCCGTAGGTGGTACATGTAGGTTATCAAGGCACCTAATCCAGCGTACCAATGAGGCTATTTGATCCTCATTTAGGCGGGTGTAGGTCATTTGACGAGTACTACGAGACTTTCGACCGGCAAAGCGTGCCCGCAATCGGCCAACGGGAACCTCATATTCACGCGCCAATGCAGCGAAGTTAGGCTTTTTGGAGGTTCTAGCAACTGAGCAGGCAGTCAAAATACGCCGTTCAACATCTGAATAGGGTTTATCCATGGTGGTGGTAGTTGTACGTAGTAAAATAAGGGGCAAAAGCTTTGTTGACAAGCGAACTCCGTTGACCGCGGTTGACCAAGACCCCGCGGGGTCTGGACAACCTTAGGTTTCAGGCACCGAAGGTTCGCCGCTAAAAGGTGACAATTATTCAAAATAAAACACTCTCAAGTACTCAATTGGCTATGTCCGTACTAGTCCGTACTGTAATGGCAACGTTCCGACAATTTTAACTATGTGCCGGACGAAAGTGTGCTAGTTGATCTTCCTATATATGGGAAACCCCAAAAAAGTGGGTCCACCCACGAGATTTTGGTGCCTAATGAAAATGTGTGCCTAACCTGGGTGTGCCGAAAACGGGAGTTTCCTGTAGTCCGAATAGGGCGCGTTCTCCGCCACCATTTGACAAAAACCATTGTAAAAATATTTATCAATCTCACAAAAGTAGATCTTCGCCCAATTTAGCAAATGTACTTTGACTCTAACAATACTAACTAACCTATAGAGAGAAGTTGGGATCCACGTTCAAAGTTGACCCTTCTAACGAATGCATCACTCGTGGGGTTGGGACTTGCCCACTTTGTGGGCGGAGAGTGCCGTAAGGCCCCAGCCTTGTATCAGACAAGGGACGTCGCCAATAGGAGGCCATCGGATGAATAGTGCTCCGCAAAATGAGCCGTCCTATTTCAAATAGTAGTAAAAGTATAAGCCCCACCCCACGCCACATCCACCAACCTCACATTTCCCACGTTTCTCAATGCACCTCAGAGAGTTATTCTCCGAAGGGCGCTACGAGGAAAGATACGCATCCAGACCCCTTCCGTGTCCGAATATTGATCAGGTAAAAGGACCCCCACGGGAGATTATTTTTAGACTATCAAGGCTGATATGGCATCGCACTCCTCAAGATAAATAACAGTTAATGTCCTGAGCTGACCAAAGAATATTCCACTCCACTTGCTCCTAACTCCTTGAAATGCATTCCATCGGCGACAGCCTGAGACAGCAATATTAATCACACCCTTCATCGTTTATAATTCAATTTAAGGATGTCCACCCCGCGCAAGACCGTGCTAGTCACCGGCGCTACCGGCAAGCAGGGCGGCGCTCTCATTCAGAGCCTCCTTTGGGCCCCCGATACAGCCGGGCTCAACATCATCGCTGTAACGCGCGACGTCGCTAGCCCTCGCGCGCTGAAACTTAGCGCGAATTTCAACGTATCTGTCGTGGACGGCGACATGGCCCAGCCCGAGGCCATCTTCGAAAAAGTTGGCCCTGTGTGGGGTGTGTACAGCGTGCAGATTAACTCAGACGCCGAGGAGCAGCAAGGGACGGCCATGGTCGACGCGGCGGTTGCTCATGGAGTGCACCACTTCGTCTACTCGTCGGGTGACCGCGGTGGCCCCGAAAAATCGCCCGTCAATCCCACCGCAGTCAAAAATTTTGCAGCTAAGTACCGCGTTGAGAAACACTTGGCGGAGAAGGCTGCAAGCAGTCCACAAAATATGACATACACGATCCTGCGACCAGTGACGTTCTTTGAGAATCTCACCACCGATATCCATGGGAAGGGGTTCGCTCGCATGTGGGAGCAAATTGGGGACAAGAAGCTGCAGTTTGTGTCTACCCGGGATATTGGTCGCGTTGCGGCCGACAGCTTCATGCATCCCGATGACTACCGCAATACTGCCCTGACACTAGTGGGCGATGAGCTAACTCAACCCCAGGCTGATGCCATGTTCAAGGCTGCCGTGGGATTCCCTATGCCCATGGCCCCGTGCCCCGTGGCTTCTACAGTCAAGTTCATCTTAAAGGGCACCGTGGGAGATATGTTTCGTTGGTTTGAACGTGAAGGGTACGGGGGTGATGTTGCTGCATGCCGCAAGCTTTACCCTGGAATAAAGGACTTCAAAGCCTGGATCGAGGAGAACAAAGGGCGGTGGTTATCTACCTAGAGTAGTAGCGGATTTTCTTACGGCACAATCTCTGGCAAATTGCTATGTTTGATTTATTTATCTTGTAATCTCGTTTGTTCAGATGCCCTCTGCGAAAGTCTATTTGTCCTGCTGTTATCCTGATATTCTATATACACGAATAATTAATGCTCGCTATTATCTTGCAAGATCTATAATATCCACATTTGTTAGAAATTCTGGTTATGATGCCCTCTTTGTTAATTCGATACTATCGCTCTCTGTCTGGATGGTCTGACCCTCTTGACCGGACTTTTGTACTTCGAAGGGCTAGAGCCTCATTCAAACTAATCTAGCTGGCCCACGGATTGGTAAAGCGATCTGAAGGAGCGTAGTGACGTAAGTGGGAGAAGCGGGCTTGATCGACATTCGCCCTTCTATATTATCCCCTAGATTCGAATCACAAGACCTCGGTGGAGGTAGATGATGACTGAGCTAAAAAAATCCCGCAGGATGACTAGGCGCTGAGTTAACGGTAGTAGTTGAATACCAAATCTTTAATGCCTTATATCAAGATATAATACCATAATTTCTGATCGTTTTCCTATGTATAATATCTAGTTGGACGGTGGAAATTATGATATAGGTACTGGACCCTTGCCACTGGGAGAGTCGAAAAGCATTTGTCCAGGCACCATGGCATGCGCTACCAGAGGTGACCATCGAGGACAGAGCCACATCAGTGAAAATCCATGACAATATTATATCCAAAGACCCAAGAGATAGACCCTTGATTCTCTAAAGGCCTCATTATTTCTCAGCCGCCTTCCCATTTTATTTCGGTCCGGTGGCAGTTACTGTATAATAATTTCCATGAGTGCTCTTGC